TTTCGCTTCTCATCCAAGAAGCTTCTTCTGCTTTGACTGAATGGTGGGGAATGGCAGGGTTTATGTTATTTGCAGTTATCTGGTCATTGGTATTCTGAAGGTCAGTCATTAGCTTTCTGATCATTTGGGGGTTTATCTGGACCATCAGACCAATTCACTGGGCTCCACTGAATTGGAGTGCAAATTGGTGTGGAACCTTCTTGGGATTGCTGAAAGGGACTGTGTTGCAAACAGGTGTGGCTTGGAGGCAGAAGATCTTGCAGATTAGCTTATCCCTGAAACTAGCATGGTTATTACGGGATTAACAGGGTAGATGGGAAACTCCAGTACGGAATTGAATTCCTAAGGTTATCAGTTGCCTCTTTCTAGGAGAGGAATAGCATTTGATTCAAGATGTCTGCTCTGTCTAGAGTTTTCAGAATGGGGTCTCCTTGACGGAACAGGCAAAGGCTTAAGTGGTTTCAGTTGGAGTGAGTAAATGGTTGTTGCCAGTCTGCTTTCTCTGTTGCATTGTTATGGAGGACATTTTTTCCCCAAGAATGAATTCTCTCCTCCCATGTGGGCATCAACCCAGTTATTTTGCAGTCTGAAATTTGGGCATTTTAAATAGACATTTGAGCCAATGTGTTATTTGGCTCAAACAGATCGATGCAGCTGATATCCTGCCCAGTAGCTTTACAAGTTCTACAGCAGTAAGAAAAACTCATAGATATGCTGCCCCAAGCAACATTTGAGCATTCTTTGCCCATACATAGTATAAACTATGTTTATAGTAAGAAGAAATCAACAAGGGAATTTACAGTGGCTATTATCCACCCCTTCTCACCCTTTGTAAAGTAATGTTGAAGGATGAAGAGGATAATTTTTATTTCCTGGTGACTGTGCTCTTTTCACTTTTCCTTCTCACGAGTTCTTTTATATATGACCAGGTTATTGGGCTCCAAAAACCCAGAGAGCCAATGATAACTTGGTGATAGCTTAAGTATTTAAAATGATGAAGAAAATAAAATAATGGAATCCTTCAAATGGAGAAAAACTCCTTTAAAACCTAGAGAGAGCAACAGCAAAAGTGATAACTTCTATAGGAAAGGAATCCCAAATAAGGTTTTCAATACCAAGTCAGTCAGTAGTTGAACAAATTGTGGATAAGGCACCAGTCTAGAAAGCAGGGGATCATGGGTTCAAATCCTGCCTTAGCCATGAAAGCCAGCTGGGTAACTTTGGGCCAGTCGCTCTCTCTCAGCCCAACTCGCCTCACAGGCTTGTTGTTGTGGGAAAAATAGGAGGCGGAAGGAGTGTTGGGTATGTTTTCTGCCTGAAGTAATTTTGGGAGAATAATAAAGGTGGGATAGAAATGAATAAAAATAACTTTAAAAATTGCTTGTGAAACTGATATTTAGACCTGCAGCAGGATACACCTTATAATAATAGGATCATAAAGGTTTGGGCACTTAGTACAAGTAGTCCTCGACTTAACAACAGTTTGTTTAGTTACAACAGCAGTGGGGAAAGAAATCTGTTTTTCATACTTATTGCAGCAGCCTCATGGTCATGTAATGGAAAATTCAGATGTTTGGTAACTGACCCATATTTATGACGGTTGCAGTGTCCCGGGGTCATGTGATCCCCTTTTGCCACGTTCTGACAAGCAAAGTCAACGGGGAAGCCAGATTCACTTAACAACCGTGTTACTAACTTAACAACTTGTGGCAAGAAAGGTCATAAAATGAGGCAAAATTCACTTAAAATGAATTAGCAACAGAAATTTGGGGCTCAATTGTAGTTGTGAGTCAAGGACTACCAGTACTAAATACAACAAATGTAATTTTGTACCAAAAGGGACAAATTTAATCAAGCAAATGTAAACACTAAGAAATCAAATAGATTAACATGCTGTAAACAACAAAGAAACATTTTGTATAAAGAACTGAGCTAACTTTCTTACAGTGTGCTTGGTTTCAACAAGTGTGAATCTCTCTGTTTTTGGAGAAATAAACAGCTGAAAGTATTCAACACATAGTCCTTAGTGGTACTATGTCTACATGGAGGGAAGTAATCAGTGGGGTACCACAAGGTTCCTGTAAATAAGGAGAAATTTTCTGACAGTGAGAGCAAACAACCAATGGAACAGCTTGCCTTCAGAAGTTGTGGGAGCTTCATCATTGGAAGCTTTCAAGAAGAGACTGGACTGCCATCTGTCAGAAATGGTGGAGGGCAGGGGTGTCAAACTCGCGACGTCGTGCTGTCATCATGTGACATATCACGACTTTTTTCCTTTGCTAAACATGGGCGTGGCCAGCATGTGATGTCTCCGGGCCTTAGGCCATGACTTTGACATCCCTGGTGTAGGGTCTCCTGCTTGGATGTGGGTTGGACTAGATGACCTACAAGGTCCCTTCCAACTCTGTTAATCTGTAATCTGTTCATTGAGAATTGCCTTCCTTGTTCTAGTTTGACTTACTGGCCACTCTGTACTGGGAAAACAGAATCCAGCTGAGGCTCAGGCCAGCAGTTCTAGGAAACCAAGGCAGGACCATGCCTGGCTTCAAAGTAGATCATTGAATGATACAAGGTTCTGGATATTGATATGGTGCATCTTGCATTTTTGCCAGTACCTTTCTCCCAAATGCCAGTGCTTCAGATCGCTTTGAACCCAATGGCGAGACTAATTGAAAATTAACACATAGGTTTGACCCTTAACTGATCTCCCCCAAACCCTGATGAAAGTTGGGGAGTGAGAGGCATGACATTCCTGGTTAACACCAGACCAATGCACTTTGTGTTAACACAATCAGTGGTGCCTTTACGTGATGCAGCTATGGAAAACTTTTCTTACCTGAGGTGAGAATTTTAAATTTTTGAGAAAACTACTAAAACTGCCTGAAGACCTACTGTCTAAGCAGTCCCATCCTGTTTTACCCGTCCAGCAAAGCAAGGGCATGGAGCAACTCTTTTTCTCCGTCTCTCCTTTCCCACCCCCGGAATCGGACTATGGAAAAAAGGTAGTCCAAGTTTTCATTGGCTCCCTGAGGAAGGAATTCAAATTATTAAAGTTATTTTAAAAAAGGAAAATATAGGAAGTCTGTTATTGGTGGGGATAATGTCATTTACAACCATTTGTACAGTCGCTTCCATCAGTTGGATCTCTTGCAACTCAAGCTAAGACTCACCAGTAGATCTTTTTATTATTATTTTTGTCTGCATTTTAATCAATCTCTGTCTATGTTTGGCTTTTCCAGACCATGAGATACACCCATCCACAAGTATCCCAAGAAATTCTTTGAGGCCACTTATGACAAGATCTTATGTGTGCCCCCTGCTTATTTCTGCTCCCAGGATTTTGTGTGTGTGTGTGGGCACACATGTAGGTGTGCTTTCCTTTTCTCTCAGCTCTTCAGTACACAAGTTGGAAAATTTTTAGACTTCAGAAACTCAGGCTGGGAAAACAGAACCCTGAGGCTCAAGGCAACACCAACACAACCTCACCCGGCCTCTTGGCAACAAGCCCTTTAGGGGTCAAAGGACAGCACAGTTTACTTTTCCCCCAATTCTACTCCCAACTCCTGTGTGTCCACTATTTCTCTTTGTGAGTCCTACTGCTGGAGAACAGTAACATTTCTATTTGCCTTGGGCTACTTCGAGCTGTTTGAATTTCTCAAACTAACACAAACCACCTACCCACAAACACAGTAATGGTTACTCTGCCTGGCTGTCACACCGTGCTGGACTAACTAGGCAGGCAGTCTGTCTTCTCACATACCTTTTTCAGGAGTCAAAATCTGAAGAGTGGAATGCATAATTTAATAATAGCAGTAATAATAGGCACAGGAAAAGTGCCTATTCAGCAGACTACATTTTCAATATATGGACAACATAGTGAGGGCAATGATGGGAAGGATCAATACTGCCCCATTTTCATCTCTCATACAATTCTACTCAAATGGGAATTGTATCTCCATTATGTAATTATATTGGTAAATAATAGAACTGTTTGGGATGTCAGTCTCTCTTTTTTCTTTGAGAACTCTGAAATAACAGAAAGAGAAACAAGGAAACTTTGTATCTTATCAATCTTCTGTTAGTGCTAGCAAGTGTCAGTCAGTCAGTCAATCAATCAATCAATCAATCAATCAGAATAGAGCTGGAAGGGACCTTGGTGGTCTTCTAATCCCCTGCTCAAGCAGAAAACCCAGGGGTGAAATCCAGCAGGTTCTGACAGGTTCTGGAGAACCGGTAGCAGAAATTTTGAGTAGTTCGGAGAACCGGCAAATACCACCTCTGGCTGGCCCCAGAGTGGGGTGGGAATGGAGATTTTGCAGTATCCTTCCCCTGCCATGCCCACCAAGCCACGCCCACAGAACCAGTAGTAAAAAAAATTGGATTTCACCACTGAGGAGACCCTATACCTGTAATGGCAAATCTATGGCACGTGTACCAGAGGTGGCACGTGGGGCCCTCTCTGCTGGCACGTGGGCCGTCACCCCAGGTTAGATCTCCATGGCATTTCTTTTGTGCGCTTCTGTTTCCCTGCAAACGACGAAACAAGTTTGTGCATGCATATGTCTTTGCATGTGCGCGTGCGCAACTTTCAGTTTGGGTATGCGCGCACACGCAGTTAAGCAAAGGGCAAGGCATGTGCAATTTAGAGATTAACCCAGTGGTGGGATTCAGCCAGTTCGCACTACTTCGGGAGAACCGGTTGTTAACTTTCTGAGCAGTTTGGTGAACTGGTTGTTGGAGGAAATCATTAAGGCAGAGAACCGGTTGTTAAATTATTTGAATCCCACCACTGAATTACCCTTTCACTTTCTAGCGCCTCCATCTTGTTTATAATTCTTGACTAGCTGACTTACCTAATTTGGCACCCGGTGACTCTTAGAACAAAATTGGATTACTCTATGGTTTATTGCGCTGTGCTCAGCTTTCTTCAGGCAAGCTCTCTTGCTAGGCATTTGATTCAGATTGCTGTCTGCTCTTATCTGCCTAAAACTGCTGTAAATCTATCAGCTTTAAATGCATGTTTGTGCACATTGGCAATACAAGATGTGTCTTCTGCCCAAACTCTTCTCGGCAACAGAATGTGTTTCAGTGCTGGTTCTAACACAGATAAAGGCATTTATGCATGCGATGCAGCAGGAAATTTGATGGATGAAGTTGTCATAGCAACTTTTTTTTTTTTTGCAAATGTCATCCTTTTCCAAATCAGCTGGATAGATGACTGTGCTCCTCTCTGTTAATTTTACCTGTTGTATTGGCTGTGCTCCTGAAGCTGCTTTAGAAGGCTGAAGGCCACGGTGGGAATTAAGCCACCTGCTCAGATAATTAATGGGGGAGGGGGATTCCTTCCCAAGGGTGCAAAAAACAAAACAAAAACCCCAACCCTATGAGATGTATACTGCATATGTGTTTCATTTCACAATATCTTCTGGGTTGTATGGGTGGAGTCTTTCCTGCGCTGCTACAGATTAAAAGCATTAAGATGCCCCTCCTTTTGCTACAGTGTAGTATGCAACTCCCTAGCAACTTGCTCGGCTGCTGATCCACCCAGTGTTTGTTAATAACACGCATTTCTCTTCCATCGTGACCGTCTCTGAGTGTTATAACTGTGATTGTGCAGGTGGATTAAAAACAAAAAACGATTAGAATCGCTGCCCAGGATGAAGGCAAGGAAAGCCTTCAGCATTTTTGGCACCAGAGTCAGGTAGGCAAAAGGTGGAGGACAGAGCGAGAGAAACATGTTTTATGTTGGAGAAGTCCCAGGGTCATCATCTGTTTTGTTTTCTCTGAGTATTCTTCTAGCTTCTTTTTATGGGATCACCTGGGGAAAACTTTTAGGGGGGAGTCTAATTCTTAACATCGTATCAAGGACAATAAAGGGGCTACTTTGGAAAAGTTGGGAGGCAAGAAACAAAGATTGGGACAATTAGCCTGACTTTAGCAGGGTGTTTGAAGGAAGTAGTAGTACTTAACGCCATTTTGTAAAAGACCGCTAAGGAATAAAAGAATACCTTTGGTTTCAGAAAATATATGAACACGATCAAAAAAGTTGATAATTCTTCTCAACTAATGATTCGAGTTGGTTTCACATAGGAAATAGTGCAGGATGATTTGTGTTTCAGGAAGGAACTGTGCAAGATCAGGTTATGGCAGAAATAATCCCAAAGATTTATGTTCCAGAGATTTAGTTTGGATAGGAAATTAGATAAGGATTGTATTACATCTGTACATATGTACATGAATGAATACATGTGTAAGATAATTGATAATTTGAGAAAGATTCACACCCATACAGAACCAGAACAAATTGTAATATCTCTTACAGGAATGGGAGCAAATTAGACTTGTTTCATGTAACCAGAATATAAACCATACCGGTATTACAACTTCAGTAGAGTTTTTAATAACATTGCACACTTATCCAGAATAGCCATAATATCAACATATAATAAACATTTATATTCAGTGTCCAGTGCCACCACATTCTTAATATCTAAGTTCAAAAAAGGGTTTTTTTTGGAACCCTGGATGGTGGTTGTTTTTTTTTTTGTTTTTTTTTATCACATTGATGTATCTCATTGTGCTCTTTTTCATTGTTTATTGTTCTATTGTCTTACCTAGTTCTGTTTATAGTCTTTTCATTTCTTCCTTTTGCTGTTGGAGGCAAATAAATTCAACAAATAAATCTATCACCAGTGCCACAATGTAACTTTATAGGTTAAGAGACAAATCCGTTTATAATAACTCTAGTCACTAGGTAAAATAACAAATTGAAATCCAGTGAGCAAAGGTAATGGAACCGTTCCTTCCTAAAAACCTTCATAATTTAAATCTACAATTTATAAATCCAGACTTGTAGTGACCACACACACACAAAGGTGAGGATGTATGTGAGGGCAACTTTATTGTCTTACATAGTGACATTATTTAGTTGTTACTTTCAATTTACAGTGTACTTGGCAGCATCTCATTGGCTACAGAATCTTCCAGGTAACTAGAGTCATAGATTAATCATTACAGCTTTGCTTAAGCACTTATAATGTTATCTAGGGTTAACACACATCCCACTTCCTTTCCTCCTGTTCCTCTTGTTTATAGAGTTAGGGTCTTAATGCCATTTCCTGGCGCCTACATGTGAGTAACCTTCCTTATCTGAGGTTTGCCATCCAAGATAAAAACAGTCCTACACTTAGCAGACTACAGGCTCCTACATATCCTCTCTTTTTATTTAATTTTGAGGGAACAAATGTTTTTGTATATATCGCATTTGATGAGGAGGCAGAAAAAGAGGAACAGGACGAAACATAGAATTGATGAGGGAATACACTGAATGAAACAACAGCAAGCAACTAACATGACAATAAAAATCACAGCATAAAAAAACAACTGCTTAAGCCAGGTCAACCAGTCAAAAGAAAAGGAAATAGCATGAACATTATTCTGAAAATATGATTGGAGTTTAGCAAGTTCATCTTCAATGGTTCTGTTCAAAGAGTGAAAATGAACAGCACATCCATGACAGCCAACAAGTTTACAAAAATCTCTTTGTTGTGCTAACAAATAGTCAATAGCAAAAAGTTGTTGGAGTACATCCTGATTCAGGTCCTCAGTTTCATGTTGGAGATCACGACAATAGCAGCAGTGGCATTAATTTATTTCTCCAGGCGACATGTTAAACCCAGGATAGAATGTCTATTTTCTTGAGCTATTATTCCAGAGTAAGTCCCTAAGGTGATCATCCCAGTAATAGCTCCAGCCAGAGCACAGCCAGAGGTATTGAGAGAGGACAGTTGTGTATCAATGATAACTTCATCATTACATGTAGGACTTAATAGAGAACGTCATTGTCGTGAAGAAGAAGAGAGCACCAATCTGTACAGGTAGGGAAAAGTAGCCAATAGCAGCACACTGATAGTTCTGAGGTGTACATTGGTTGCATATTTGTCAAAAAAGAACCACATAGAAGCATTAAAAATAAGAAAATTATCAGGAACATTTCAGGCACAATATTAGGTCCTTAGAAAGAAGAATTAAAGGTTTCCCAGAGCTAATAATAGTCAGTACAATAACTATAATTCCCTACTTTCAATAAAATATGTCAAGCCTTAGCATAATCATTCCAATTGTTAAGCCAAGTATGGCGAGCATAACAGCAAAAACATAAGCCTCTAGTATATTGATTAGTACAAAGATAACACCAATGAACAGAATTAAGTTTAGGATTAAGTTGAGTGTTGAGTATTATTCAAAGCAGTAACAACTAAGAGAAGACAAGAGAATACAAAAAAAGAATTGTGACAGAATTAGCTATAATAATAGCAAAAACAGCAACTAGATTTTCAGGAGTTTGAGGTAGATCAGCTTGACTCAATTGTTGTTGATCTTGGTATGTTGTAGCCTTCACTTGCTCCCATGTGATTGGCGAAGGTTGTTACTCAGGATTAGGAGCAAGACGATACTTTACTAGCGGTCTTGTCAGTGGTTCTATTGCATGAAAATGAACATTAACAGGAACATCTGAAAAAGAATCTACAAGAGTTAAATAATTCCAAGTAAATTGGCAGAGGGTACCCCTAGGGTTGACCCCACTGGGGAACGGAATAGCTGACTGTTGGCAGGAGGGACACACTCATACAATATTCTGAACCTGTGCCAAAGGAATATGAAACTGTTTTGCCAAAGATTTTGCATTTTGATGAAAATATGAATGACTTTTCCATGGAGTAACAGATTACACATGCTGCTCCGTTGTCTGCAACAGCATTTCCTTCTGATAACATACCTGGAAAGACTGATGACTCCTAATATGTACAATATAAATTTAATTCTTTCTAATTTGCAAAACTTGCTGTAATGTCAAAAAGAGAGACAGAAGATCATCATCCAAAGATAGTGTAACATATGCACTAGGGAGATTAAAAATCAGTTGACAAAATCAGAGATCAAATTAAAATCTGTTGAGAAAAAATGTGGAAAGCTAAAATAACAACAGACAATTCTGAACATTGAGAGAAAACTTTCTAGAAGTCCTCATGAGGATCTTTGTAAGCAATCACTCCCTCATCAGAAAAACAAAGAGCTTGCGATAGTGGATAAGGAAAACAATAGATGAATCATTAAGCAAATAAACCTAGGATCTGTAGACAGATGATATGAAATACAACCTACATAGTCAATTAAAGCACACTAAAGAAATAAATTATTCTGAAAATAAAAGTTAAAGTCAGATTTTAAGATAGAAAGAAAGATACTTATTAAGTCAGTTCCATTTCTTCGACAGGCTTAAGTACGCCCCAAGGTTATAATTTCAGCAATAGCTTAAATAAAAGTGTTGGAATGAAAAAGAAGCCTTTCCCTTTAAGGAATGAAAAAGAAGCCTTTCCCTTTAAGGATTGCTAGGAGGCAAAGCTTTCCCTTCTTGAATTCAAAATTCCCGGCAAAATGATTGGAGGTCAGCTGCTTGAGACTGCAACATCAAATCTCTCCCCCACAGATTTACATGAATGGGGAGAATAAACAGGCTTTAATTGAGCTGTGTGTTTGCCATTTGGTGCTGCATCGAGCTGCTTGAGGTTAGAATCAATTTATTATTTATAGGAAGACAGACAAAAATAAATCAAGCACAGTGTTTCGAGGCTAGCCTGTTTAAACTGTAAGAGTAACCTTTTTTATATCCTAAAACATCTTTTGATTTTCTATGTGACCCTTTAAAGTCTTTTGAAATTCTTAATAAATAATTGTTTTATAGTCTACTCTCTGTTTTTCCTAGCCCTTTGTAATTGTTCATTCCCAATAATTATTCAGCTTGCTATTTCTGTGTTTTTCTCCTTTCCTCATGTGTTAAAAATTCTAGTTACTTTAACTTGATTTCTTTTCCTTCTTTGGTGTTTGCTTTTCTTTCCTGTGTCCCAAATCCGCTTTAAATGTTGCTGGCCCCTGTAAATTTTTTCCTTCTTTTGTTGTGGAAAATAAGGTGGCTTCAGCTTCTTAATGGCCCATTGATAAAAATTTGGGCTGAAACTCTGCCTAAGTTTCTGCTTTTCTCATATCTTTCAACAAGGGTAAAACATTTTTTTTAATGGTAATGAGGCAAATAAAACCATTTAATACAATATACTTTTTGTTGTCTAAAACTCCCAATATTTTTATGTAGTTTACTAGGAGGAAATATTAAGAAATAACTGACAATTTCTATGAGAGATTCAATCCACAAATTAGATACTCAAGATGTTATTAATTTTCTCAACTGTAGCACATACTACAGATGAAACTATAATTAAATCTGGCTTTTTTCTTTTTAGTCAATTCAAATAATGGATTAAGTCAATGCGTAGGTAACAAAAAATATGAGCCAATCCAATTAATAGTACCCAGCAATTGTTTCAAATTTACTAAAGAAATAACTTTTCGTAACTTTAAATGAGGAAAAGCTGGAGCAGAAAGAAAACTGCAACAGTTTATGTCCTAAGTACAGATAAGGAACGTGCAGCTGTATTTATTCTAATCAATTTACAATCCATAGACACATAAACCATTTTATATTTCAGAAAGCCAATTAAGTTATATTTTTTAACTCCAATTAAAATATCATCCATAAATGATATACCAAATAAGATGGAAATTTCTCACGAAATGCTGGCACAAAGTAGGAGAATTAAGCATGCCCTGTGGTAAAACACACCAATGATATTGTTTAATTGGCAT